ACATGTTTTCATCGCATTTTTATTTTCGAACATTATTTTATTGGGAACGTGCGTGAAAAATAGTGAGCCATTATTTCACTAAAACAATACATTGCGAAAAGAAACAACAGCTCTTTCGTATATTAACGTGTGAGGAAATCCTCGCTTGGTAACAAGTTGCTACGTCGATAAACTTTCGCGATTATAATATTAATAAAGATTAAAAACAGCAATCTTAAGAATTTTAAAGTACCTACAAACCTAAAAGCAATGGTGACATCTCTCGTTCGAATTATCGTTCTAAAACGATATTCGAATTGTTTGTATGCTAGAAAGGATATAACAATGGATGCGCCAAGCATTGCTTCAAATGCTAAAAAACAATGTAGAAGCGTCTGGCGGCGAATCCCAAATAACTCACAACGACAAACTCTTCGTACTTTTTTCTACTAATTTTAATGTTTAATCTTATGTGCAGAGATTTGCACTATAAAAGTTAAATTTCTAACATCAGATTGATTTTGTAAGGCAGCGTATTCCACAAAAGAATAGACTGTACAAAGAAAGACGATTGCATGAAACCAGTGCGATGAGAAGGACACTGGAGAAGACAACTACGCGTCGAGCGGAGGTTTTTATGATGGACTGTAAAAAGTTATTGATTGTGAGAAGATAAATAAAATGGAATAGATGAAGAATCTACGAGTAAAAAAAGAAGAAAGTGGTTAGTGCTCAGAAGGTGCGACGTTGGCGAATAAGAAATTATTTAAGTAATTTATGTTTAAATGTACCTAAGAGTATGTAAATTTTACATACTCTTAGATACCTTTTGATCGTTGCACACTATGTGTGTGTGTAGCACAAAACATATGTCGTAATCCAAAACATATGTCATATCACATACGCATACGCCGTATAGTTCTACTAGTGTTAGTTGATGCAAAAGTAACAATTTGAAGGACCAACGAAGAACCAATGCATATGGCTCTCATAGAAACTGCGCGCGTTACTGAAACTGTATACAATTAAGGTTTAAGTTAACATGGAATGAGCAATTAAATGCATTCATTTGGTATTAATATGCCAATTGTGCACACACTTATTAAGTGTGTGCACAATTGGCATACACGAGATTACACAACACAAAGATTACACAACCTCACTCAAGACTATGCTATGATTATGGAGTGATTCGGACAAGTTTAGTCGATTCGGTAGAAAAATTAATCGGGAAACATTTATTGCTTTCTCTCTCATTTGTACCCGATACAACAACAGAATAGAACAATAATTACATAAAAAAAAAGTAAAGTAACAGCCTATACATGTCCCACTGCTGGGCAAAGGCCTCCTCTATACAGAGGGTATCAGGGCGTAGTCCACACTGCGGATTGGCGGACTACACATATTTTCGAATTTTTTTTTTTGTTATTATTTCGAAAATATGCAGGTTTCCTCACGATGTTTTCCTTCACCGCGGAGCACGTGATAAGTCAGCACTTAAAGTTAAAAACTTCATTGGTGCCGGCACCGGGGATCGAACTCAGGTTGCATTGAATTAAAGGGGAGCGCCCGGACACTGAGCTATCACGGCTCCTGCATAATTACAATAATAATATAATTACAATAATTACATCGTCACTAAATAATATAAAACAAGGTTGTCTCGCTGTCTATCTGTCCCTATGTATGCTTAAATCTTTAAAACTAGGAAACGGATCTTGATGCGGTTTTTTTACTGGATATAGTGATTCAAGAGGCAGATTTCTATGTATATTACTCTGCACCCGTGCGAAGCCGGGGCGGGTCGCTAGTTTTTATATGAAAACTTTGATATTTGTTAATGGGGTTAGAAGAAATCTGATACATTTTCTTGTATATTACAAAGAATATTTAATCTAACTTAGATTATCTTTATGTAGTTTGTAAAAAACAGCAATTATATATGTATGCTTACTTTAAAGCATTTTTTGTCCGTACTTTCAGTGATTACGGAAAAAATATTACCTCGACGAACAACGTGACAAAAATGTATGAATTTTGGAATTAATGAATTCAATTAATTTGGGCAATTATGTAGGTCATATGAGTTTGGGAATTAGCGAAAAATCTAGTTTCCTTTTAAGCTTTTACGAGCAACTTGCCTTTATTTTTTTAAACTTTTACTGTTCTAATCTCTGCACTTAAGATTGAACATTAAAATATGTAGAAAAAAAACGAAAAGATTGTCGCCGCTGTGGGAATCGAAGCCACGTCTTCGGCACTCGCGGCCTGACGCTTTAACCACTAAGCTACACGGCCTATTGCCACATCGACGAAAATCTAAACGTCTTTTATCTACAATTTTTAGCATTTGAAGCAATGCTTGACGCACCCATTGTTATATCTTTTCCATTGGAATATTAGTCTAAAGATGCCAGGTAAGTTACAAATTTGAATGCAAATTTTAACCTGATGGTAAGTAGAGTAGAATAATCTTACATGTTAAACGCACGCATGTTTCCCCTGAAAGTTGATAAGTAACAATCATTGATGTAAGCAAGAAACCTAAAACCCTAGCAAATAAAGACCCCAGGTCATTCACCAGGACTGGAATCTCCTAGCTGACCTCATAGTAGGTTACTACGAGTACTATGCCACAATATTGTCAGATCTGTCTGCTACATTTTTTTATTTACAGTGATTAATTACGTTGTCGTATTCAATTGATATAGCATCGCACACCCCATTATTTCAATATTTGAACGCGTTATCATGAATATATCTATATTTCAATATATCTATATTTTAGAGTTATAAATTATCTTGAAAAAAATGTTATCCATTAAGGCTTAAAAGTTTCTCCCCCCCTTTTGATCGGGAACTCTGTTATAGATGTCTGTCCACTGGGGAACCCGGACTTACACGAACTAAGCAAAGTCCTGATCCCTTCTGCCGCAATGATTGCAACTAGACGTTGCCTCACGTACGATCTTACACAGATTATCACCGCAGCACGCACGCCCGGCAGTTAACTGTTTAAGTCTAAAGATGAGTAAACCTTCACGATGATTCATTCAGCTTGGCATACTAACAGGATTTCATACCCAATACTTTTTGCATGCATCATTTTAGAATAAATATAACAAGACATATATTTAAACGGTGGTAGGGCCACGCAGCAGCCTCGGCTGTTGCACGAATGGGCAGGCCCGTCCGGGTAAGTACCACGAACTCACAGAAGACCGGCGTAAAGTGGAAGTATAATACTTTCGCGTTTCGTCTGGTGAGTGAGGTAGCCGGAGCCCAATTTTTAAAAAGGTTGTCAACGCATCTGTAACCCTCGGGTGTAGCAGATGTCCATGGGCGGCGGTATTAACTTAACATCAGGTGACCCGTCTGCTTGTTTGGCAACTTTTCGCATAAAAAAAAAATATCTATATTTTAGAGTTATAAATTTACTTGGAAAAAACGTTATTCATCATTAAAGCTTAAAAGTTTCTCCCCCCTTTTTGATCGGGAACTCTGTTATAGATGTCTGCCCACTCCGTGTGGGGAGCCCGCACTTGCACTAACTTAGCAAAGTCCTGATCCCTTCTGCCGCAATGATTGCAACTATCCGTCGCCTCGCGTACGATCTTACACAGATTATCACCGCAGCACGCACGCCCGGCAGTTAACTGTTTAAGCCTAAAGATGAGTCTACCTCCACGATGATTCATTCAGCTGCGCATACTAACAGGATTTCATACCTAATACTTTTTGCATGCATCATTTTATAATAAATATAACAAGACATATATTTTAACGGTGGTAGGGTCGCGCAGCAGCCTCGGCTGTTGCACGAGTGGGCTGGCTCGTCCGGGCAAGTACCACGACCTCACAGAAGACCGGCGTTAAGTGGAAGTCTAATACTTTCGCGTTTCGTCTGGTAAGTAAGGTGGCCGGAGCCCAATTTTACAAAGGTTGTCAACGCATCTGCAACCTTCGGGTGTAGCAGGTGTCCATGGGTGGCAGTATTCACTTAACATCAGGTGAACCAACTTTTCACATAAAGCCGGTTCTTCTCTGGACCCTGTCTAATTCACGAAATAATAAGGATCCCCGATAGATACGAAACTAGTCGGTAAATACATCGATCAAATGTGAGTTAAGCCGTCTTATTATTCAAACCAAAGTTTTAATAATTCAGTGAACTGGTAGTTTCGTGAAATTAAATAAGAGATTGAAACAAGCCCATATTTAATAAAGAAATTTTGACTATGATTTTAAAATGAGGTTTGCGGTTTATAAATCACCTACTAGTTTTTGCCCGATCCGCTTCTTCCATGTGAAGAGGATTTGATGTTGTAAATCCTATATTAGTATTGCTCAATTCAGGCCTTACGTAAATATTTTTATTTAAAAATGCATTCGAGGAATTTATTCAGGGTACAAAAAGCATAATAACACACAGTTTCGCATTTATAATGTTGTATTATATTATTCTTGTGCAGGTTCTTTCGTGATGATAAAATTTATTAAAACTGAGCATATTCAACAATTATTTAGGTGCTTGCGTGCGAACTTTAAGATTCTTTAGACTCAAGGTCTCTAAACGGATACTTGCATGGACTGTATACTTGATTTGGAAATTAATCTTTTTTGAAATATACATATAAACTTTATACTGCGCCTTTTCAAACCAAACACTTATAGAAATTTAAATTGAAGAAGGACTACTGTGTAGGTCGTAATGACGGAAAGGAGACGTAGCGGAAGCGTAGCGTTCACTACGAATAGACCGCATGCAGTTAACGGTTCAAATAAGGCCAATTTCTCGCGTTGTACTTTCTTCAACAAAATTTGGCTTCCAGCTGCAAGAAAAATAGATTAAGAATAAATCCACTATAATAATGCGACTGCCTCCGAAGCAGTGCACGGGAAGAATTAAATTCTTTATTTAAAGGATCTTTAAACTCGTGGGGTTCAAGAATCAAGAAACCGACGTTATCAGGCAAAGTTTTACTTTGGGTCACGTTCTGTTGCATGAAAGGGCAGGCATGAATTGGAACTGCAACCGAGTTCCCGTGATGGAGTGCCTAGTAGTCTTGGCTAGGTCAGCCATGCCGAAACTAAGAGGTCATACTGTGCTGGCCAAAGAACTGCTCTGGAGGTGCTTAACGACCCTGGATGCGCGCAAGGAGTGTTCGGGTAATATCAGATCTTCCAGTTCTCTGCCAGAGTTTTTGCGGGGCAAATTATTACAAGCTTCGCAGATATAAAAGTCAAAACATTTTTTTAACATTTACTGAAAATCACAAAAATTCCTAAATACAAAACATATCTCACGAGTCCACATTTCTTCTTGTTGCTTTAATGGGCCGCCTTGTCCGGAGAAGACTGGAGTAGAGAAGCATTATTCGTAATACTTTTGAATTTCCGGGGCGAAACACCGTCACGATTGGTAAGGCAATTACAAATTATTTTGGAATATTGAAATATATTGAAATAATTTTAAATGTTTATGAGTGGCGGTAATTACTCAACATTAGGTGAACTTATTTGTTTTCAGAATATGGGATTAATTAGTAGCAATTAACGGAATTTGTGACCAATACGACACTTGGATGTGCACTTACTTGAGCATGCGCCAACATTCGCAGCATACAAACATTCGACGTGTGCATTTTTAATATTCATGTAAAAACTTTCACACGTCACGCAGAATACTGTTATTTCAACCAGGTTTTTTGTAATCCAAATAGCGGAGAGTCCTAAAGCGACGCGGTAATCTGACGACTGAAACAATGTTAATAAACTCTATCTGAGAAAGTACGAATATTTTCGCCGCGTAGTACGAAAAATACGATTGTCGCCACTGTGGTAATCAAAACCTAACTTTTCGGCAATCGTGGCTTGACGCTTTAGCCACTAAGCTAAACGGTTGATTGCCACACCGACGAAAATATTAACGTCTTTTATCTACATTATTTTTTAGCATTTGAAGCAATGCTTGGCGCATCCATTGTTATATCCTCTCCAGCATACACAATTTCGAATATCGTTTTACAACGATAATTCAAACGAGAGATGTCACCATTGCTATTCAGATATTTAAATTTTTATAGTGCTAATCTTTGTACTTATGATTAAACTTTAAAATTTGTAGAAAAAGTACGAAAAGATTGTCGCCGCTGTGGGAATCGAACCCACGTCTTTGGCAATTTAAACGGTCTTCGCCTGAAGCTTTAGCCACTAAGCTAAACGGTTGATTACTACACCAACGAAAATCGTAATGTCTTATATCTACATTTCAAATTAAATTTTAAAAAACCGGCCTATTGGACCGTACCATTTTTTAGTATGTAATTGTATTTATACGATAGCCCTAACAACTTAGAGGCCTATCTTAATTGCCATAAAATATTTTTTTTTTGGAATGTTTCCTTTATTTGTTTACTTTACTTTGTTACTGTAATACTTTGCTTTTTGACAAATTTTGTGATTGGTACTTACAAGTTTTCGTGAAAATCTATATTTGCCCATATTTATTATCGTGTTGACTCATACCTATATATATACACAGGGCCTATATATATATTCAAATTTGTAGAAGAAATGGATTTGGTTTGTGTACTAAGCAAATCACATGTCACACGAATAAAATGTCCATAGTAAGCTCTTGGCTTTACTCTCTTGGACTCTAGTCCATAATCACTGGTGTCCGTAATCCAAACAGCAAAACGCTGAACCGCATAGGTATGCTGTTCAGTGCTTAGGCTAAAAGCCCAACACACAACAAAAGGTCACAGTAGCTTTTAACTTATTTAAGATGCATTTTGTACTCACAGCGATGATATCTGCGACATTTAGCAGTACTTCCGTAAAGGTAAATAATGTATGGAATAAGATCTGAAAATAAAATCAGTTATACTTATTTGTCAAAAAGCATACAAACAGTATAAATGCATTTTTTTTTTAAATTAATATTCACAACTTGCTTGAAATTTTGTAATATTTTTATAAATATTGAAGGCTTCTAGTATAGTCACAAAAGATCTTTCTGCTCTCATCCAGCGATGCAATTGATAATTATCATCCTTATTTGAGTTACCATGTTCCTTCAAAGTAATTTCCTTAATCTCTGCTATCCACAATTTTGCAACGGCGTTTAGCAGGACAAGCACACGCGTTATATAAACTATGCCGGTGTCCAATACGAGTATAACAAAAAACCTCAGAAGTAAACCACAATTAAAACCACGCCTAATAATATTGACGATCAAGTTTATGATGTAAAATGCATAAACGATACAAACGGTACACCAGTTGCCTATAAGAACAATTCTACTCCTGTTGGTGCAGCGAGCTAAGTTATTTTGTATCTTTTGAATTTTTCTTAATAGTTCGGTATGCGCTTCACTTTGAAACACACACCCTACGCAGCTGTATGTAAAACCAATGAGAAACAAAATTGGATCGGCGATACTACGAGTTAGTACATTTTTCTCGTATCCGTCAAGTGAATTTTTGAAGACGGTAAAGACATAAGCGGCGTATATAAGAAAGCCGCAGAAACAGATCAGGAGCTTAGTACAGGGGTTATTGGACGCAATCAAGTTGTTACGAATCGTGTACTTCGGAGCTAATATAACGCAACACATTAGATGCAGTGGGAATATCAATTTTTTCATGGGAGCTTCGAGCACGTTGTTTAAATGACAATCCTCGTCGTGTCGAAGTGAGACAGGGGTGGTTTCTGCAGCGTTATCGTCAGTACACTTAAAACAACGGACCGGAGACATAATTGTATTGAATCGACCAGTATAACAATTTTTACACAAGCTACTAACCTACTTTATAGCGACTACTTTTTAAGTTAATTTATTTCAGCATGATTTATTGTTTCTTTGAATGACGGCAATATGCTTTTATGTTTATTAAAATTTTTCTGTCATAACTGATGATCACATTTGAATTTCAATTTGATTACTTATTATTTTAGTGATCAATTGCGGTTTAAAACATTAGAAAATTCGATCCGACAATTTGCTTTTTTTTTGGACACCACTCTTAGCAGAGGATTCCGTGGCGCAGTTTCCAAGGTACGACTTCAAGAAAATACAACTATATAAATATAAATATAAGTATTTTAGGACACATTTTTACACAACGTTCTCTAGTCCCAAACTAAGCAACTCTTGTACTATGGGTATAACTGATAAACATACTTAAACATACTTTTCTTTTATAAATAAGTATATATTACACATATATAAACACCCAGACCCTAGAAAAACACTATGTTCATCACACAATATTTTTCCAGTAGTGGGGATCGAACCCACACCCTCTGGCACAGGAGGCAGGTACACTACCCACTACGCCATTCGGGTCGTCATATTATTTGCATGACGCAGAAATAATTGTAACATTAATAATTGTTCAACACATATACTTTTATGTGATAAGGTAGCGAGAAGCTGGTGGTTCTACTGATGCCAAGATATGACCGAAGTACGGGTTTTTGGTGAACCGGTTAAAGGTTGGCAAAAGGGGTAACAGTTTTAAGTAAAGTGGACTCAGCGTCACACCAAATGAAACAAAGACGCATAAAACTTCCTCTTCACGCCGGTCTTCAGTGGAGCCCTGGTACTACTTCAAACGGACCTGCTCATTCAAGCAACAGTATACAGCGTGACGTTACCATCGCGACAATAAATGAACACACGTCTAACGCTACTTGCCAATAATCATAAAAAAATATTAAGGTTAAACAAAATCCATGATTAAAAAAAAAATAATTAAGTAAAAAAGAAACAAAATTTGTAACAGCCTATACAACTCGCGCCACAGCGTCGCATTACAAGCCTCTCCTTCTAACAGTATGTTTTGTCTCTTTTAAATTTATTCAACCCATTCATATGCTTTGTGACCTTTACAAATGAACTTTACGTTACAGTTTTATACGTAAGGGTGTTCTAAAATTGATTGTTTTGGCAAATTTAATAACTCGGTAAATATTGATGTTTAAAGAATTTAAATGTTTAATACAATTTTAAAAAGTTATCCTCTATATGTGTGTTCATTTATTGTCGCGGTGGTAACGACACGCTGTATACTTTCGTGGCCCTACCACTTATTACCAGTTTATTTTGTTAATGAGTACATTGTGGTACTACTAACATCATAAACACAGCTTTATATATGTTGTGTGATTTAAATAGCTATCGGCAAGTTGAAAGATAAATTGTTTTGCGTTTGCCTAAACAGCCCTCAATACATTTTAAGTGATATTCGATATACTTGGGTTTGGAGGGTCAGAAAGGATAAGCGGAGGAGAAAATATGCGTTTAGAGATATCGTCTTATTGTTCACGCTTGAGTAAACTCAATGGTTTATAAAGGTTAACTAAAGGTCAAAACAATTTATCAATTTGCAATTTTTTGTTCCCGTTACATTCGTAAAGCGTTTGTAAGATTACCGAATGGCGTTTCTTATCATAATTTATTATGTGGCATAACTAAAAAAAAAGTTTTTAATCCGTTATATATTTACATATTAATTCCGTGTAATTCTATTAACGTTATTTGATGCAAAAACGACAATTGAGCTCACACACGGATCTTCCAGATATCGCGTGCGTAATATTAACGAATTTTCTCGTTAATGTTCAACTTAATATGGAATGAGTGATGAAAGGCATTCATTCCGTATATTAACGCGTGAGCACAAAGATTACACAACCTCACTCAAGAGCGTGCTTTGATTAGAAACGTGAACCAGACAAGTTTGCTCGATTCAGTAGAAAAACTCGGGAAACATTTGTTTGCTCCATCATTTGTATTTGGTTCTGTAATAATAAAATCTTATAAATATAAATCACGAGTATTTTCAAACCAACTATTAACGATATCGCAGTGCTAATCCGGTCGATATCAAACGATTATGTACTTGCTGTTTGTTACAAACTATCATTCCAACCACTGCAACGCGGCGAATCTAAGTTATATAAAATATTCTAAGTAACGTTCAATTTAACCATTCTTATTTAGAGTGTTGTTCGTAATTAAGTTTTAAATGTCTCTTTTAAGTGTGGCAAATAATAAGGGTTTTATATTGAGCTTAAAACGTTACAATTTCAAAGCTCTCTCACTCTCCACATTAAAAGGAATATTCCCGCCCTAGATTTTTAATTAATGGTCGCCTTGATGATCCCATTTAAACAGATATTTTCCAATGTCACAAAATATTGAGATATAAATATAAGAGACTTTCA